CCTCTGGTGTCTNAAAAAAAAAACAAATAAAGTTTCGATTATAAAATAGTCGATCATTCCAATTGATTTTTGTTGTATCTATTAAATTCACGCGTGTGACATCATCCAATCCGATAAGATATATTTGTTACCAACATGCATGATACACACAATACACTTTTTAATATCGGTAATATTATTTTATTAACACTCGAGATATATTAAAATCCTAAGTTATTACTTTAATTGATTTATCGTGTATGATACCCTTGACGATAATCTTTAAAACATATTCACACGATCATTGAACCGATCGATCGATCGATCGATCAAATCTATTTTCTCGAAGAATCCTTTCAATATTCCTTTCACGTTGACACCCTTTCTCTTTCTCTTTCTCTCTCTCTCTCCCTTTCTTTCTCTTTTTTTCTTTCTCTGTTGAAATATTTTTATGCATGAGCAAGTTGAATTTTATCGATCTTTCAACTGCATCGTAACGAAATGAATCAAAACTATTTAGCATGGGCTTGCAATTTACAAGATAATAAAACTGACCGTAAAATATACGTTAATGGATACCAAATAATCGATATAATATCTATCGAGTAAAGCATCGATATAAATTATTTCTTATTACTCCCCTATCAAAGTCATAACTGATCATGCATCGAATGAAATATTTTATCGAATATAAATACTCACACGCGCTTCTTTAATTGATTTAATCAATTTGAAATAGTTTTTGGTACTCGAATTAAATTATAATATTTGTATTTATTTTTTGTTTGTTTTCTTTTTTCTTTCGATTCAATTGAGAAAGACTGGATTAAAGTGTATCTCGATTTAGAAACAGGTATCACGAAGTATCATACAGTTGGAAAGTGTAGTTGGATAATTTCAAGTTTTCAATGACGTGCAATGGTTAATTTAAACTCTCGAAAGCTTAACGATAAGCCAAGATATTTCGTTTGCAGCCAATTTCTATAAGACTCTAGATCTGATTTTATTTACGATAAATTCTGTCTCTGCAGGTTTTATTTAAGAAAAATCATGTATATATGTAGGTATGTGTGTGTGAGAGAGTAGTACTTGTATTTATTTTTTCTAGATATATATATTATTCTTTTTTAATTCATAAAAGTCCTCTCTTTCAACCAATACAAAACGTTTTAAATAGAAGGGAAGTAAGTAGGAAGGCATCCATTTATAGAAACTTCAAAGAAGTTATGCCAGGCATCCTAATAGAGGAACCTCCTGCTCTTATGAGAGTCTTATGAGGTTCGACGAACCTCATGCTATGCGAAATATTCGACTGGATCGAGGCAACCCTTTTGCGAACTTAAGTATTCTCATTTATATACACACATAAATAAATATGTGCGAGGTTAATATTTCTTTGGTCGATACTCACGTATTCCTTCAACTCTCGCAACTCGGAAAAAAAGTTGATTTTCTTGGTACTGGAATTAAAGTTAAAAAAGAAAAAACAACATTTATACAATAATTGTATAATTGTTCTATTTCATAATAATTACGTGATTAATTTTATTTTTTATTTTGTTCAAGAAAAATGATGTATCGAAATGTATATTTAATTCGTCGAAGCGTGTTACGAGTTCCAAGCATTCGTGAGAAATCGTGACATCCTTGACTCGGAAGTGACTCATAGCCGGCCGAGTTACGCTAGTTGAGTAACACACACACATACACATATTTAAAAGTCCAAGTTCATGGTTTTCTTCGTTATTTCCACGAAGGGTTATCTTCTCGTTCGCCTCGTCTATGATCGAATTTCTTTTCTTACACAATTTTCACATACATTGATATTACAAATATTATTATACGCGTAAATTATTTATTTTATAATCCTATTTTAATTTATATATATATATGTGTGTGTGTATTGATAATTATTGAAGATATTATCTCGAGATAAGTTAAAAACGTTTATAAATAGACACACGCGTAAGATGATAAAATAAATTAGTGATATCTTTATTAAAGCATTCTTTTTTTTTTATCTCATCATCATCATCGTCATCGTTGTCATCATCAACGATAAAAGGTTCACGTAACCATAAATAAACCTTAACATCAGTCTTTAAGATTCTTCTTCTTAGTTCGTGGTAAACATTTATTCGAAAAAGAGAAATAGAGAGGGAGAGAGAGATGTTAAATTGGTTATCACAGATTGCACGTGTCTTCTTCTCGTTTCTTGTGTACATCCATAGATGAATACATATACATAAATACACATAGTAGTTATATACAACATCGTCTGGTCAATTCAGAATCAGAGAGTTAGCGATGACGGCCCTGCACCGACTTACACCACTCCGTACGCGTAGTACGCTCGTGGTTACGTCATCGGTCGAGTGAATGGACCAGTGACTACTCGTTTCTGTCCAATAAGAAACGAGAATGGATCGCAACGATTGAATGGACGCTTGGAATGAACAAGAAATTCGTATACGTTTGACTTTTGATCTCAATCCCTTACGTGTATATTCAACTTTTACTTAAATGAAATCAACAACATTTCAAATCATTCATTTCAACTCGTTTCATTTTATTATAGTCTTATTTTAATGATAACAATTTTGTACATTGCATAATATCATATCTTATTATATATTATGTGTATTAATATTAATTAATAAATCTATACCAAGAAATATGAAAAATAATTATTGAAATGAATCGATACAAGACACAATTATGGAAATCTGTAGAATCCGAGGAAACAACTTGTTAAATACGTGCGCCCGCCCACATATTTCGGTTCCAATAAACAGGTAACGTACAGGTTATACGTACACATTTGTCTCACCTTTTTGCGATGAATCATTGAATTCCTGGAAGATTTAAAATTGACCCACCACCACCACAACCACCACCACACTACTACTACACTACACTAATTCCATCTCCACTTTATTCAATGTTAGTCTTTCCTCCCCACTACTCTCTTATCGGTATAGAGACGACGGCACCTTCCTTTTACTCGAATCGTAAGCGTACTTCTCCTACTCCTACTCTACTAACACACACACACTACCACCGTATTATTACCACTACCACCACCACCTGCTTAATAGTAAACAGGTCGGCAGCAAAAGACTCCTCGAGTCGCGTCGTTCTGATAGTCAGTTAACGCGTGTTCCTCCTTGGCGACGCATCATCGAATAAATCGATTTGATCGATTTGATCGATCTATCGAACGAACACGAACTCGTGAAAACCGGCACAATCAACAACCGTACTTATATAGAGATAGCGAAACGATAAAAGTGAGCGTACAAGTGAAACTCTTCCCTCTTATCACGTTAAAACAAACCCACGTTCTTCATTCATTTTGATTACACATTTTTCCAACAAAAATTCCTTAAAAAAAAAAATATTCGTCAGCTTTTTTCAATGTGTACAATTTCAACCAACGAATTCATCAACGCGTAAGATCCATCATTTTTACATTCATTTTGTTTCGATCCTTTGCGCGTTTGTTTTTTCTTGTTCTTTTTATACTTTTCAAAATTTTCTTCAATTTTTTCAAATGTACAATATGGAAAGAATCTTTTAAACGAACATGTGTATGTGATTGTGTTAGACGTCAAGCTAGCGTGTAAATAATAATCATCGAAGCATGCAGTAACTCGATGCACGTGCGACGAACATGCAACGGGAGTCCGTTTACGGAGATTCGATACGTGATTTCCGGGAGGAAACGAATGTTGTGTTGCCTTTTTTCTTTTCTTTTCTTTTCTTTTCTTTTCTTTTCTTTTCTTTCTCTCCTTTTTTTTTCATTCATTGAATAACAAAATTAGTTTATTTTTAAATCGATATTGTAATGAAATTTTCGGTTTGTAGATCTGTGCCGTACCATATCGTGTCGTGCCGTCGTTCTATTTCGTGCCGTGCCCCTCATTCCTATCAGCATTGTAAATAATGTTTGAGACCGATACCGAAATCTTTTCCATGAACTTTATCAGAGAAGATATTGCTAATAAGAAATTTCTTTTGATAAATCTTACCAAAAGTATTCTTAAATTCTTCGAATTTTAAATCGTCGTTCGTTATTTATAATGATTTATTTCAAATATTTCATATCTAATTGATAAGTATTGTATATTTATATTATTTTATTATTATTATTATTATTGTTATTATTGTTATTGTTATCATTATCGTTAGAAAATCAACATAGACAGTTTCCTCATACTTTAATTATTCAATTATTATTTTTCTTTCTTTTTCGGTACCTTTTTTCAAACGAGCATTGTTAAACGCGTCAAATGTGTGTGCGTGTCCGAACAAATTGGCGGGAATATTTGAACAGCTGTTACCTTTATAGTATTGTTATAAACACGTTATTATCGACCTTGCACGATCTGTTAGTCAACACTTCTCGCGCGTTCTTTTGCCAGTAATAAAACAAATCCGATATCGCGATATTAGTTCGTAAATCGAGTAAAATAGTATATATATCTTTTCATTTCTTATTATTGAACCTTGTAGTTAACTTGTTATACCGGAACTCTCAATTGATAAGGAGCCTTTCTTATCAATAACATTTAACATTGATAAAACTTGGAGGAGATAAATGAGAAGAATACTTGAGAAGAGATTTTTGAAAGTTTTCCTTTCGAAAATATTTCTCAATTAAAACTCGATACTTAAAACGTGTATTTTGTTAAGTTTTCATTATTATAATTAACTTTTCATAATTTGTAACGGCAAAGGATCGAAAGAAATTCAACGAAAAAAAGAATTGTTTTTTTTTTTATTTTAATTACGTACTTAAAAAACCAATGAAACAATAATTAACACGTTGACTGGCACAATAGGAAAAACCTATGTGAATTATCTACGATTGACGTTATTATATTGTTTTATATTTGATCTTAAAATCATGACCCCTTATAACAAAACGCGTACAAAATTAGGGGGTGACAGTCAACGTGTTAAGGGTAATCAAAACAAAGGTCAATTTTTACTCACAGCTGTGCGAATAATTGTGACAGTTTGGAGGAAGTGATTAGAAGACGGAGGGAAATCTTCAGACGGTCTATGAGACCTTTCGATTTTTATGAATGAGCGTCGACAGAGGATTAAACATGCTGCACAAGCATGGAAGCAAGTCGCTGCAAAGTTCCGTCTACAAGAACAGTAGGGGTGCCTTCTTGAAATCTGTAAGTTCCCCGTGTAAATGTTCAAATCATTTTTGTTCCTTTTGTTTCTTTTTTTGTACGTGCCAAATCAAAAGCTAGCTTATATGTGTTTTTTGTGTCGTACGATTGTTTCGTCGTATCACGTATGAAAAGAAAATCCTTAAATAAAAGGAAATGATGTCTGAGATAAACAGCATCGTTGTCGATTTGTTTGCACGTCATTACAAACATCGATCACGAATCGTTAAAGTAATTTAATCATTTTTTCTTTCTAGTTTTTTCTTTTTTTTTTTCACAAAGGAACGCATACTTTTTGTATTACATTGAAAGATGATATTCACGGATGACATCATCGTGCAATTATTCGAGTAGGTGTTTTAAAAGAAGAGAGAACCGATACGCTCAGAGATAACGACGGAATCGACTTTAGCAAACATTTGTTTCGGAAGATATTAGAAGAATCAGGGGATGAATGGAAGAAGAAGGATGAGGGAAGAATTAGACTAGTGGAAATAACAAATTGAACAATTTTTCTTTGATCGTGTTACATGTTACATATTATTATTTTTGCGTGTGTTACATAAATCCCTAATCTGTAGGTATTCCAAGGTGTAATTTAAATATTCATCCATTCTCTCTTCGGTATGCCAATGTATCATCTGCACGTGACCGTTGGGAATTTAACTTAGGAAAACATTAAACATCGTGCTCTTTTGTAGTCTCTTGGCGAAGCAGAGATTCATGAATAAGTGGGCTGGGTCCAAGTATTTCGTTGCATTCGTTAAATCCTTCCTCTCTCTCTCTCTTTCTTTACATCTTTATTATCGAGTTCTTCAATTTTCGCAGATTACAACGATGTTATGTGACATTTATGACAAATGTCAGGCTACTATGACAATTAAGATTATTGCAATATATTGAAGAAAATAAAAATAAAAACAAAACAAAACAAAAAGAAAAAGAGAATCGTCTTATTATCTAATCGACATTATGGACAGGGATTCTCAAGAGTATGACATGTGATGATTGTACGTTAGGTTAAGAGAGAGAAATAAGAGATATCCAGTTATGAGAACCACTGAAGTTCGTTCTCTTACGATCTAATCGTGAAACGTCACACTCGTGGACTATGCGTCATCGTTCGACTCTCGCAAACGAGATTCGCACTTGTAATATCTGACGAGCAATCAAGACACCACGTCACGATCCGTTACAACAACGTGACATCATCGGGTTAAAACGACGCCGATGCTGTTGTCCATGCCGTCGTCGTTCGTACCGTCGACGTTCGTACCGTCGTCGTCCGGTAACGTCGTCCGGTAACGTAGTCCGTGCCGTCGACGTTGTATGTTGACCTCTCGTCTCCTCCTGTCTGGAGAGATCAAATCCTGGTCATCGCGTTTCTCCTCGAAGAGACACGCTTTTACACACAAGCACGCATTCGCAATACACACACATACGCGTATATGTATATACTGACTAGGTCAGGTTTTCATTCCCTCTTCTTCTTCTTCTTCTCCTCCTCCTCTTCCTCCTCCTCATTCTGTTTCTGTTTCTTCTCCTTCTTCTTCTTCTTCTTCTTCTTCTTCTAACTCACAACGATGAGTAATCATTGTTGATTGTTGTGATGACTTATAAGACTCATTTGAATCAAACGATCGACTCCTCTTTTGTGAGAATTTCCTTAGCACAATATTCGAGAGAGAAAGAGAGAGTTTCTTTCTCTCTTTTCGAAGATTCCTCAAACCGGTTTTCATTTTACCTTTCTAGAAAGAAAGGTATTCTCCTTTTTTTTTATCTTTATTTGTTTAAAACGAACTCGAGTTAAAACAGATCGACATCGAATCTCTAGTGAAATCTCAATGTATTCAATTTTCATACACGACTAAGGATTATGATAATTCAGAGATTTGAAGATTTAAAGTAGGATCTTAATAAGTTGTTTATTTCTTTCTATATTCTAATACAATTGGCCTTGATTTAGAAACTGGTTTTAGACTGTGTTCTACTTAGAGATGCATTGGTCAATCTTTTTCTTTTCGATTTTGATAGATACATACGAGTACCGTGAATTTTTATTCAATATTATAAATAAGCGTGTGAAATGACTAGATTATTGTACGAACGAAAGCGGAAAATTTAAAACGTTCTTTGTTCGAAAGAAGAAACTTTGTCTGACGGAAATTGGCGGGGCTTTTCAAACGAGTATGGGCAACATAAACACACTTTCCTCTTTGTAAATCCACGAACTGGGAGAGTTCGCGGGATGATTTTAAAAGAAGATGCTTCGGGATTCTATTCGTACTGCCTGACGCAAGCGCTTTTCGAAATGTTGCAAACAGGTTAAAGAAGTGTTTCTCGGTAGAGTGCTCGATACTTTGGCTTCTGTCCCCGGTATTCTCGGAAGCATACGTTAGTTCCTTCGTTCCTTCGTTCAACGTTAAACTCTTTGGATGAATACTTACGTGTACCGGTTTCCATAATAAGCTGGTTTGTCTTCTCTCTCTACCTATCTACGTATCGATCTATCTATCTATCTATCTATTTATCTATCTATCTATCTCTGTCAATTGCGTTGCGTAATACAACTCGTCAATAGTTTGTACATCAGTTCTCGGTTTATCTCAAGTTGATCGATCGATCAATCGATCAAATATTTGTTCATAATTATAAAACTTATTTGCACGTGAATAGAAAAACACATTAAATATTCGAATGAAATTGTATCAACGCGCGCGATACAATTTTATTTGATTTTTTCTATTCATATATTATTTGAATATATATTTAAATGATCAAGAATATGAACTTCTCTGATAAGTCTCGATCATGCGTGTATCCGATCTAAATGCATTTATGTAACGACCTTTGTTAACTTTGTTGCACTAGAGGAATAATCGAATGAAATGTCTGACTATTGAATCATTCGTAATGTAAATAAAATAAAACAATAAAAAATAATAATGGCATTATTTGTCGAATAATTATGCGATTACATGGATGGGTAGATCCTTTAACCCAATGTAACATATTGTAAGATAAAACGTATTTTTCAAAGCTTATCGAACAGAGTCTCCAATACCAAATGCCGTGGAATTCCCTGTCGTTCCAGTTGGTCTCTTTTCAATCTATACTTGTGTGCGTGCGTGTACTGTGTATGTATGCGGATAAGTATATATGCGTGCATGTTTAAGCCGTAGAAGTTGTACGAGCACGTTCTCCTTGGGTACTCCACAGAAGATCCCTTTGTTCCGTGAGCTGGCATAATATTCATGTGTGTACATTCACGTATGCGTATGCATACGCATAGAGAATATACTTGCTTACATTATACATTACGATAATATTCGGGAGTTTGAAATACGATCGATTGTTTTTATTTAAAAAACAAATCATCGATTATTCGCGTTTCGATAAGGAAAACGTGATTATTTAATTATAAACGTTTAATCGATATGCTAATATCGTCAGAGAGAGAGAGAGAGAGAGAGAGAGAACAAAAATATAAATAGATGTATATATATATTATGCATATTCGAAGAGAAGATTATTCGAGGCCAATCGAAATCTGGTTGAAAGATAACACGTAGAAGAGAGATTATGTAGGACGTTGAGAAGAAACTCAGAAACACGATCGTACGTACACGTAGATACACACATATATATGTATATATATATAGTTGCTTATATACGAACATATAACGATAGTGTCACGAAGAGACGTCTCCGAATCGGCTCTTTGTGTCTGGCAACAGCCAAGACGCCTACAGCTGTCTGCCAATGCTCTCGGCGACAGAGACCCTTGATACGTCCAAGACGCATACTCGATTAAATACCAGTCCTCTGAATTTTTCACTAAAGATTTTTTACTTTTTATCCAAACATTTTAATTATATCGTCCACCGATTCAAACATAAAATTGTTTTGCACGCGTCCAACGAAGCACGTGATTCTTCTTATCACATTTTTGTATTTGTTCAATCAAGCGTTAATGTAAATACGTCTCATCGTGATCAAGTTTTAATTTACATCAAATTTTATTACGAAATTCGCAATTTTTCAGAAAGAAATTTGTTGTTTTTATTGTATATCAAAATAGGATAAAACGGTTAGATTAGATTGAATGTCGCTGACCCATTAAGGGACTTTCTTTTTCGTCCAACGCACATTCGTATTTTTCAATTCTTTCTCTCTCTCCTTTTTCTCCCCCTTTCTCGTACATATCTCTCTCGCCGTTGGAAATCCCTCGGCCGTTCGTTCCTCTCACGCTCCCACTTTTCGTTTCCTTTCTCTCTCTCTCTCTCTCTCTTTCTCTCTCTCCTACTATTCCATGAGACAAGACATGTGTGAAGGTTTTCGAGGACACCCAGTACACGGTATGCTTTCGCCAAAATTCCACACATTCGAACGAACCGTCGTGTTCTTAGACACCTTGTTAGACCACATTCCACTCTGTATTCCCCCTCTTTCTCTTATCCAGTCAGCTGGTCGCTCTTTTTCAAAGAAATAATGATTGACGATACGTGTCCATACTAATCTGACTCTTTAAAAAGCATACCCTCGATCCTCATAGAACATAACATTCTTGATCATTCAAAACAATATTTTACTGTAAGAATAAAAAAAAAAAAGAAAAGAAAATAAAACTTTCTACGATCTCCTAACGGTATACTTAACTGCATAAAAAGATTGAAAAAGAAGAGAAATAAAGATAGAAGGAGATACCAAGAATAAATTTATTTCAAGCCCGACTAAACACCATACGACTATGTTTATAATCCTTTTCCTTAAGATTCAAAGTGGGTCGCCGATAAAACGTTAGTTCGTGGAAGGACTCACACTCCTCATTTTCTTTCCTTTTTTTTTTTCTTTTACGAGAACGCATTACGCAACGCGTTATTCACTTTAAAAGTTTCATTCATAAATCTCAGACGTTGGTTGTTCGGTTGTTATTGCGTGGAATTCTACGAAGAAAAGGGACTAAACGTGTCCGGAATATAATTATAATTTCAAGAGAAAGATAACGCCGGAAAGAAATTTCATTGAAATTATTTTCAAAGACAAAAGAGGAAGAGGAGACACGTGGGGTCGGAACGAAAAGAAAAAGAAATGTCTTGAAAAAGGCGCGTGTTGCGCGCGCAACTGTTCACGAATTCCTTAGTTACGGCGACCATCGGCAGAGTGCGCTAGGGTCGCGCGCATCGCATCCAACCGAGTAGGAGATAGTCAGTGTTCTTCCGACCGTCCACGTTGTCGCATCTCGAGGTCAACGGCAGTTTCTATCTTTTTCTTTCTTATTTATATATGTATATATACATATATACATAAATATGTGGACATATAGATAGGATAGATAGATAGATGCATATGTATTTATATATGTACGTAACGCGAGTTCTTTCTTCGTGCAAAGTTAACATTATATGTTTCTACTAACCGTATACGTAACATCGATTTATATATATATATATATATAACTCTCTTTTCCTCTCTGTTTTATTTTCAATCAGTTAAGCAATAAAAATCAATAGATCATGACGATTGGTTATTATAATATAAATGAAATGTTTTCGTCGGAAGCGTTTATATTCGAATGTCGAGGTTAGATCGCGAACATCGTGGCTCCGAAACGAAGAAGAAATTTCATCGTGAAATTTCGAACCAACGGATTGTTTCTTCCTCTTTTACGTGGGGACGAGAATACATTGCCGTCTAAATGCGCATTATAGTGAGTACAATATATCGGTGCTTAAATAAATTTTCTTTTTTTGTTTTTCTTTTTTATTCCCCTCCCTCCCTCCCTTTTACCATCTTCCTCTCGTTTCCTTTCTTTTTCTACTTATTTTTCTTTTTACACTCGATAGTACTTACTACTTACATACTCACGATTTGATAGATTGCCAAATGGAATGACTCGAACTCGAAATGTCTTTCCGCATTTCTTTTTTTTCCTTTTTTTTGTTGTACGAATCATACAACACGCACGCGCACACACACACATACACACTACATACACAAAAAACTCGAAAGATATTAACATATCTTCTCAGAGAATTTGGGGTCAGAGATCGAATTTAACTGAACGATACAAGAAAGCGTACACGCATACACATTCATACTGAAAGAGATATACACGCGAATATTATAATCATTTTTTCATTTCTTATCTAAATAAACCCAATTATTTTGATTAATTTTTTGTTCCACAATAAATAAATCATATAATTATAAACAATTAGTATTTGTAATTACTTAAATACTTATACATCGATCACCCTGTACATATGAAAAGTAAAATCGATGAATGATTCTCTGTTTTGTTGTTGGTACGCAAATATTTTTATACATCTTTGTTTGACAGCGTCAACGTTCAGGGTAATCTTTGACAAAAAGATAATTACAGGTAACGACATTATCGACAATTCCATATTAATAAAAAAAAAAAGGTCGAATTGGACGAAACGATAGAATTATTGTAAAAAAAATCGATTGTATCTCTATCGAGAATCGCTAGATATGCATAATATGTCGTATCGATTTGCGGGAAAGATCCGGGTTCGAATGTGACCGCACGAGCTTTATAAATTCAATTTTTTTCTTTTTTAACTAACACACACACATCTATACATATATACATAGCATACGCGTGCACGCGTTTACACATACACGTGGGTGTTTGGATTTGCATGTTTCACAAGTTTAATGGAGAGTATCGCATTTTGCGCTCTGATAATTTAACTCGCACGTACTTCTTCGATAGATCGATTTAATAAATATCTATCCTCGTATTATTGTACTAAAAACAAAAGTGTATTGGAAAAACAGACAGGGAGAGAGTTTTTAATTTTTTTTTTTTTTTTTAATTTTTTCTTTTAATATTGATCGATCGTTATATATACATATATATATATATATATATATATATATATATTTTGGCGTGATCGTTTTATTACGCGCTCGTGTGCAATTTATTTCACGTTATTGATCATTTCACGCTCTTGTTATTTGTTATTACAGATGTCGGAGTTCCCAGTGGAGGGGGGAGAAAACGGGGACATGCAAGCGGTCATGGAAAACTTTCAAAAAAAGAACAATCTGGTCACTGGCCGGACCCATGTTTCCCATCATCCACAAGTTACTACTTCATCACAGGTTGTTCCTCCATTTTAAAACAAAAAATTCATTCCATTTACATTAGCATAAGACACGTTAACACATAATCTTTTCGTTATTATTTTGACCTAAAAAATAATCCTTAATCATTGATAGTAAATTAATAGTTTTGAAAAAAAATAAAAAGAGAGAGAGAGAGAGAGAGTAGTACATTTATTTTACATTTATTTTAATTATGATTATTTTACAAGCAGTAATTGTAACAAAATTTTTTTATTGAGATTAATGATCGATTAGTATTATCGAATACTTAGCAATCGAGTGCAAACATCTGTGTAAATATTTCGTGGAACGAATGGGTTTTTTTTTTTTTTTAATTTTATTTCTTTCTATCTTTTTTATATTTTTCTCACACGAAAATATATTTAAGTATGGACGTGGACCAAGTCACAAAAAAGGGAGAGTGAGAAAGAGAGAGAGAAAGAGCTGATTTTTATGCACCCGGCGCCTAACCAAAAGAGAAGAAATATTCATTCTCGTTAAGCCAAAAGTACATCCTTTGCTATCGAACTTTCTATTTTAAGATCGCACGAGTCGAAACGACCTTCACCGTAAGAAGAGTCGCGACGTTTTATTCGCCTACGTTATTTCTTGACCAATTCCAACTGATTTCCCGAACAATCGCTAAAGTTTTTACTTTCCTGTATTATTTTAAGAATTTCATTATTTCTCATTCACACATTCAGAATGTATAAAAAAAGATATATATATATATATATTTTTCTGTTAATAAATGTGAAACTTTGAATAGGAAATACAAATGATAAAGATTAAATAATAAATATCATTTTTGTATTAATCTTGCCTCGTGTCTAGCACAATTACTCTCGTTTATTATCGATTATGCAATAGTGCAAAGTTCGCATGACTCTGTGTTACGCCCACCAATTCATGTGTGTCTCTTTTATCTTATATATTAGATTCTTTTATAACTATATTTAATGCTTTCTCTTACTGTGAAATCCATTGATTCTCGTATTTTTCGAAATACATAATAATTATTTACAATGTAAATTTTATCAAGCAACAATTTTCAAATGAAACGTTCCATTTCGTTAAATTCAATGGAAACAAAATTATTAAACAGATCAATTTCTTCTAATTAAATTTACACAATATCCAAATCATCGATTGCTAATAAGTTTCTTCATAAACACGAGCCAATTCATTCGTCGAATATTTTCATTGAAAATATTATGAAACAGAGATACGAAGATAGAAACAAGACATTTTGAAGTTGAAGATCACTTTAAGTGTAATCGAATACCAACCATTCACGTTCATGTTTTTTTTTTCTTGCCATCATTTTTTCCTCTCTTTTTCTTTGCTTTTCAAGTGTTGTACTTTCATTCGAGAAAAACATTGCCATATAATTTATCTTGATTTTCATTCTCAAATATCTCGGTAACTACTTACAATAAGCTTTAAATGAGAACATTGGCACTTTCTTGTTTTTTGTTTAAACATTCCAACAACTCAATCTTTGGTAACAGCTTGTCGAAAATGTTGCTTCTTTGGCTACTCACCAAAACAATCTTCTACTTTGTCTTTGATTACGTTAGAACGTCAGAAATCTTCTAAGTCCATTTATAAACTTTACGCATGTACAATAATTAAATAAAAATAACAAAATAAATGACATTTTTATTCAAATTATTATGAAATATTTGTGTTTTTATAATTGTAGTAAAATTCGTATTTGCATTGTATAATAAATAAATAAATTAATTAATTATTCATTGTAACAAATGGTTATGAATTTTTTTAACAATGTTTTGGCACAAGAATATTGGATCAAATATCTTTTCTCTATTTATAGTACTCAAATAATTGCCTTAATTTAATCAAATTAGTCGACAATTCGAAGGACTCGGTACTAAAAGATATTTTACTTTTGAACCCTTCTTAAAATAATGTTAGAAGGTTATAATTACACTTACTCGGTTCTGTTCCAAGCACACCCTCTCTCTCTCTCCCTCTCTCTCTCTTTGGATTCTCTTCTCTTTCTTGGGACTCGAAGTAGGCATTTTCTTCTTCCTGAACCCGAGTTCTCTCGTCCGAGACGATATTTTACTACCTCACTGCGGTAGGTCTCTTCGTCTCGTTAAATTTCTTTTACTGTTGTTGACTTTAAGGATCGGTTAACAAAATGCGCTTGTTAAAAAATACAATAAATTTTCATTCATTTTAAACTATTGTAAGGATACGTGGTGAAAAGAGTTAAGTAACCTTTCTTCGTGCATTTACGTAAAATAGAAATATAGATGGATTATTTAATCCTGTAAAAATAGAACATTGTAATAATAGCAGCAATGGTATATGGTTCATTGTATGAAATATAGTTGTACGTGCGTGCGTAGGTGTGTCTGTGTGCTTTCAAATTTTTGGAAGAAATAGAAACTTCATCGAATCGAGACCGTGAAAGAATTTTGAGATCACAGGTTATTCTGATTTGGATGATTAGAATAATTTTGGGAAAATGAAAGAGATTCGAGCCAGAGAGACTCAAGTAAAATAACGAGAGAAAGAGAGAAAGGAAAAAAAAGAGAGAGAGAGAGACAATCATATACACACATATACACAAATACGATTAGATAGAGATGAGTAGAGCAATACGCGTGTGACTCACCTCACGTGGATCTTAAATAGAACGTAAACGACTTTTAACTCGACAGATGCTAACGACGAATCAGAGCCAGAGCAGCAGCAGCAGCAGCAGTAGCAGCAGTTCGAGCAGGGTGAAATCCTCCCAGAGGATTTCCTCCCTTTCTACATCTTCCTCGTCGAGTGAAATGAAGGCTAGCTCTATGAAGAGCGATCTCACCGAATTAAAACGTGGTATCTCGGAGATGAAAAATATGTCCTCGAATTTTTCCCAACGATTACGTAGCAGCATGGAGAATCTCGTTGACAGGTAAATACACTTTTATTTTACAAACTTTCATGTCAATTTATTTCGCTTTCATTTATTTTTAAAATAAAAAACAAAAAGAATATTTAGAATATATGAAAAACGGCTAATACTTAACTTCCTTGTTTTCTACTTTTTTTTTTCTTTTTTCTTTTAGAGACGGACCTGTTGCCGAAGAAAATGATTTGACCGAACCACTGGTAACATTCCCAGATCCTGACACCCCACCACCTTCCACAGGAACTGTAACTTTGACAGGAGGTTCACCGTCACAATTGAGTTCTCTCAATTCGTTGAACAATCTTCACAATATGAGTCCACCGATAAATATGCCGAATATTACGAATATGACGAGTATACCTGCTGGCCAGGAAACTATGAAATTCGAGCAGAAGAAAATGACGAGTGCGTCCAAAACGAAGGTCAGTGAAATGTTTTTTTTTTTTTTTTTTAGTGCAATGAACGTACGATCAACAACAACAAATATCGACATGACGAGAATCGTCGTAAAATAATCATCTAATAAATAAAATTAAATAAAAATATCAATCGTGACCTTCGCGTTTAAATAATAATCATTAAAGATCATTATAGATCATTCTAACAATTTGTGTAATTCTAAGTTTACATATTCTCTTTTACGACTCAGAGCAATTAAATGATTATCCGCGTGCCAAGATATATTTTTTTCTCTCTTTCTCTCTTTCTCTCGTAGAAGAAATCTAAAGATCTAACATTAGAACGACGGATCTCGATCGGTTGATCATCATCATCAGTTCGTAGATCGCACGTGGAATAATCGAGCATAGCAAACGACTCTCGAAGAACGTCAAACAACGAGGCAGAGACTACGCAATGTTTAAAACCCGAGGTGTGGTTTCCTTTACGTAGTCTAGGTCAAGGACTTCGACTCTTCTTTTTTTTTTATTCTATCTCTTTCTTATAATTTATTTCATTTTTTGTTACATCCTTATTTTTTTTTCTAACTCACCAGTTGTCAACATCGATCGTATTATCGTTCCATTTTTATTATTATTTTTTTTCGTCGATCTTTCCTCATGATTATAAATTATTAACATATTGATCATGATCTTAAACAATTATTTCTATAACATTTTAATGAATATATTATTTAATTGTATTTATTTGTTAATGATTAGGTCGTTACCGATGGATTTAGTGCCGAGAAGGCAATAGCTAACAGTGCTGAAATGAGAGCACTGCAAGCAGGTGATGTTTCTTACAAGGAACAAAGTGCATCGACTGCAGCAAGGGCACGCGTTGAATTGGACGGTGTTTCTGCTGAAAAAAGAGTCGCTGCTGCTAGGGTAAGTATCCACACATGTATAAATATATATAATTATTTTATATTCTAATATTTATAAACACAATAACGTGTCTTGGATTCATAGTGTGGAAGAGATTCGTGAATGAACTTACAAACGATCATATAATTAATTATTTTGCATTTATTTCTAATAAGATTAAATGTTTTATATTTAATCATTTCATTAGTACATATTTTGACGCGAATATTTTTTTCATATTATAATAAATTTGTTAAGATATTGGTTAAACGTGATGAAAAATTGTCTGTTGTTGTTCAAAAGCATTCATTCGATATCTCTGTTATAACGCGATAATAGGCGGAAGGAGGATTTATTTTCCATCGAATTTAGCAGTCGTCGAACTTCTCAGCTTGGAATGAAATGATTACACCGGCAAATGTTTTCAACCATTGCGTAAGATATTTCTTTCACGCGTCAGAGCTTTCCCAGGTATTTACGTTTCATCGCTTTTCTATATTTAGATGATTTTAAATTGAAAGTCAGTCTCTTGGTGTGTCGGTATCGGCTACGTGGCTCTTGAGTCAGCTTTCGAATGCTTTTTGAATCCCAGCCAATGACTTCTCGATCACTCTCGATAGATACAAATATATGTTATGTATACATATGATGATGTATATATAAAAGCAATTTGATCATTAGCAGCAATTGTATAGAATCTTCAATAATACCAGATGTTTATCGAGTAGGTTGAACGTTCATTGATCAAATATTTCTACGAACCCCAATTCACTTTGACGTATCCTTGAATTTAAAAAATACATTCAGAAAAAAATTTTTTTTTAATCTCAGTACAAACGATTTTTACATACAAATGTATACATCTATATATTGTGTATACATCATCATATTGAGATGAATCATCTTATTTTCTCTATCAACGAGAGATACTTTTGAAGTTTCCCGCAGGATGACGCTAGAATGTAAAATGCTTAGGTTTGACCATGCGTTGATGGTCGAAGTTACCCCAACCGGTCGATGGAACTCGAAGCACTTTATTGATTTTCTAAAAAAAAGTTCGTTGAAATTCGTAAGTCTGGTGGGTGGTCCGGTGGGTGGTCTGGTTGAGCTATGGGCTTTTCCCGCATTGACCTTGGAATGTCTAACAAACAAATTGGTTTCTACGGGGCGTGTTTCCAAAGCCACCCACCTACTCCCATTTCAACCGCCACTCAGGGGTAACTTTAGTGAAAGCTTGGGGTTGAGTATTGATCGAGTTTAGTTGATAAGAGAACGCTTTCAGAGTACAGACAGACCAGTTTGTTGTTTGCGTCGATAGCTTACGTATGTCAATGGGACAACGATTTTCAAGGCTTGCACGAAGCCTTTTTCCTGTTTTAAGGACACGAAATATAAATGCGACTAAACGTATTCTGGGAAAAGATGATCGAGCCAAATCTATCGAAAGGGTAGGCTTTTTCTAATCTAAATTTCAATTTATTTCTTTTCTTCATGCAACTTATTGCATTGCGTGTTAGATAAAAAGAGAAGGATGTGTTAAAGGATAATTGACGTTAATCGGTGATTGTCATCTATCTCAATTAATCGACACTTTTCGATTACTATAATAGAAGTGAATTCTAAGTGAAAAAGTGATAGTCAACGTTCGGTTCATTAGCTTTGATTATTTCAAATCATATAAAAAGATGCTTCCAAATGTTTTCGTATGGCATTTGAGTTATGTAAGACACAAAAGTAGTGTTTGAAATATGTTAAAAATAGAAGAAGAAAAGAATAAACCGTAAAAGTTAAATTTCGCGTATCTATTTTTTTTTCTTTTCGCAACGTCATATTATTCTAGGCCCATTCAGTGAAGTGGTTTCTATGGTGGCGCAATCATTGAAGATTTCAATAAAATTCAAAGGAAATCTGCTTGCCAACTAGATGTTACTGTCACCGATATCTTCCCCCTTAACTCGAAATAGAACTCGGCCGCGAAAGACTCGGGTAAATTGCCAACTTGTAACCCCTCTTCTCTTATAGAATGCTTTCAAGATCCGTGCACGTTCAAGGTTCTATGTGGATCCAGTAGATTGCCAGAAATTGTCATCACCGGAATGATGTTATCTTCCTTGTATTTTCAATTTAGGCCCAACGATCCAAAGGCTTTTCAAGTTCAAAGAAAAACCGAATGATTTTGTTCACGGAAAGTAGATTGTTTCTTTTTTTAGGATTTTGTATTTTCCCAAATTGCATGAATAAAAATGTAGTCGGTTGTTCTTCAATTAGATAAATTGAAGAAAATTTAGTGATATTTTGAAAATTAAATAAATAATATTTTGAAACTGTTATTGTTATAACGACAATTTAACATTTGTCAGAAAGAGAAATTTTATACACGTTGAAAATGCTTACGACGATGACGTTTCTAAAATGAAATTCTAACTAATACAAAATAAACAGTTAGAATGTTTATTATAGATTTATTTTGTCTGCTGTTTACGCTTTTAAAAGTTCGCGGTATTGGTGTCACGTGACCGGTCAGTTTTCGCGCGCAGCGCGCAAATAGATGAAATCGTGTGTCCATCGACTTGACTTGCTAAGATTAGTACGTGTCTCGTCTTCGTTTAATACGATCGGTCAATCATACTTACGTGTGTAATTTGTTCGTATTTTGAGTTTCATTTAGCGTGGTTGTTATGAATATTTATAAAGATGAGCGTACCTTGGCCAGTGCATCGTGGTATATTGCAACGAAAAATTTTCGATGGTTTGAATTCGGTAAATTATTTTATTTCAATAAAATATTATAATGTGATCATTTGATTATTTATTTTGAAAATAAATTTTGTGTCATTTGTACAAAACATTAGAAGAATATGAGAAGTGTTTCATCATAAAATTAATTTGATTAAGATTAAAAGATTATTTTTATATATTTGTCTAATAAAAATAGAAATTAATGTGAAATAATAGGAAGGAATTAAAAAACAGGAAGTATGTGTAACGCGGGTAGGATTTGAATGTATAACGACAAGAAAAAAAGGAAGATTCGTGACGAAACGCTTGGCTTATATTTAGAGAAATACGTCAGAAGGCATCGAAGAGGTCGAGATACATGACAGGAACGTTCAGATTGCTATGGAACTGCGACGGTTGTGCTTCTCTCTTTCCAAATTCGCCTACTCGTGATTTATCTGGAATTTCTCGAAAATTTTCTTCCTGTTTTTCTTTCTTTTGATTTGTTTTTTTTTTCATATTTTTTTCCGTTTTTTTCGCTCTCTTTATTTTATCTCATAACTCGATCATTCCTAATCATCAATTGCAATCAACTCTTATTTGTGAAAGTTTGACAAATTTCAAGAGGAAACGAGTAACAAGAGTTATAGTGAAAACATATCATGTGTTTCAAGGATTTTTTAATTCTATTTTTTCTTATTTTATATGTTTTTATATAATGTTAACGATACTTAATTAATGTTCGATATTCTTCTTGATAAATAATTTCGTGTTTTATTTAGCAATCATGTGTGATGAGAGGAAAATAAATCCCACGTTAGACTTGTTATCATTAATTTTTATTCGAATTAGCACGATTATTATAAGTCGTATATAATAATAATAACCTTCGATCGCTCGCGCGCGCGCGTATGTTAATATTTTCTTACACTTCACGTTGATTTTGGACAAAACTTTATTGCATCCTATGTTTGTTAACTTAATCTAAAATGCATCAAACTTTTTTTTGGTTTTTAAGCAAACTCTTCCACGAATCCAAACACTTTTACATTAGTTAGATATATACGCTCATGTTTGTATGTATTCTCTCTTTCGTTATTATAGGAACAGCGAAGCTTGAAGGCTGGAGATTTATCGCATCAAGAGAGCAACAACATGGCAGCGTCGACTATGAAGTTACAAAGTGACTCATTCAGTTCGGAAAAGGTTTGTACTTATAATAAATCGATAGAAATAAATTTATAGAAATTTTATAAATATTCGAACGGAATAATATATTATATTTCAAATAAAACGCATAAATCGAAATTTGTTTAAATTGGAACATATTTTACTCGAATACGATAAATATTTATATGTATACATTTGTGTTTATTTTTTTCTTTTTTTTTTTTATGCGCAATTTAAAAAACAATAAAATATTATGCTTGTATTTTTTGAGAGATCGGTGTACGAGAGAAAAATTTCGAGATGTTTCTTGAATAATAGAATATTCTAGGAAATGTTACACGCACGCGCCTCGTATACGATGAAAACATAATAAAATATAATGATTTCTGGAAATCTGGATATAAGATCTTATTTTCTTTTCATTCGTCACTTTGGCCGATTACCAAAGAATGCGTTTTTCGTGCTAACCATAAATCGTGTAGCCTTTAACAACGATTTCTAGACGAATCTACCTAACTTTGGCAGTCGTGCGTGTATCGTCGTACGTATCGAAAAGTCTTCTTCCTACTATCTGCGATCATATTTGTAAGAGAGTGCGCGCGCTTGTATTCAAATGCGCACACACACACATTCGTGTATATATATATATATATATATATATATACATATATTTCTCACAATTTCGAGCGTTTAAAGATTCACCAATTTAAACGGTGCCGAGGCAGTCGTCAGCCTTCAGTCTTTCCCGATTTTCTGAGCAACGAGCATATACGCGTGTCCAATATACACTCTGATACACAATATTTATTCTACACTTTGTTTTTTGTTTATCACGAAACGAAGAGACTTTGGTGATTTAATAGTGAAATAGTAGACTATAAAAAGAAAGAATTAATATAAAATAGTGGGTGTTTGTTTGTTTTGGCAAATGAAAAAGCATGCTACGAAAGTGGAGCCTCGATTCGAGAATGGTAATTTAAAAAACGTGCTCTTACATTAGTTAAATAAACAATAGAGATGTTTCATCTTCGCGGATAGTTTATATTAAAGTCTTCTTTTTAAAATGCATTCCACTATTGCGTCATTCGTGACAGAAATAAATTAGTTACGCAAACAGGATGTGACAATCGGAATTGATAATTTTATTTAAATGGAAAAGCTTTAACTGATTGTGTTGTGTTATTATGTTTTACAGAAGGCGATGGCGGCACAGCAACAACGTCAGACGGTAACTTCTTCTGGGATTTACAATCACGAGAAACACATGGCTTCTAGTTCGCAATCGAGCATAACTATAGCTTCGAAAGGTGTGACATCTAAATCATCGATGATCAGTGCAGCTAACGCGGTTAATCAATTGATGAATGGTATGAGGCCAGCAGAGGATGAACTTCTTTCTTTGCCATTGGACGATTTGGATTTGTTATGTTCTAAGTCGAATCCTCAAGATGTGGATCGTGCTATTACTAAATACTGCAGTTTCTTGGATAGTTTCGTCGAACGTTTGAAGGCTAACGACGGAAAGAACACGAAAGCACCATTATTGTTGAACAGAGTTAACGAAATCATCAGGAAGGCTTGGGCTGTACCTACTCATGGTCATGCACTTGGTTATACTTTGTGTAATACTCTCAGAACGAGAGGTGGTTTAGATTTATTGATGTCCAATTGTATCGCAAGCGATCAGGAATTACAATTTTCTTCGGCGAGATTATTGGAACAATGTTTGACCACCGAAAATCGTGCACACGTGGTGGAAAATGGTCTTGAAAAGGTCGTCAACGTGGCTTGCGTTTGCACGAAGAATGCCAATTCCGTTGATCATTCTAGAGTAGGTACTGGGATCTTAGAACATTTGTTCAAACACAGCGAAGGTACGTGTAGCGACGTTATCAGGCTTGGTGGTTTGGATGCAGTATTGTTCGAGTGCAGAAAGAACGACGTTGAAACGTTGAGACATTGTGCTGGAGCATTAGCTAATCTGTCGCTCTATGGTGGTGCCGAAAATCAAGAAGCAATGATCAAGAGGAAAGTGCCTATGTGGTTGTTCCCTCTTGCTTTCCACAATGACGACAACATCAAATATTACGCTTGTTTGGCTATCGCAGTTTTGGTAGCCAATAAAGAAATTGAGGCAGCCGTATTAAAATCTGGTACTCTTGACTTGGTCGAACCATTCGTAACATCTCATAATCCTTACGAGTTCGCTAAATCGAATTTAGCTCATGCTCATGGGCAAAGTAAAAACTGGTTGGAGAGATTAGTACCTGTATTAAGTTCGAAAAGAGAAGAAGCTAGAAACCTTGCCGCCTTTCACTTTTGCATGGAAGCTGGTATTAAGAAACAGCAAAGCAAAACAGAGATATTCTGTGAGATAGGAGCGATCGAACCATTGAAGAAAGTTGCCAGTTGTCCCAATGCAATAGCTTCCAAATATGCGGCTCAAGCCTTGCGTTTGATAGGCGAAGAAATACCGCACAAACTTAGTCAACAGGTACCACTTTGGTCAACGGAAGATGTTAGAGAGTGGGTCAAACAAATCGGATTTGCCGAATGTGCCGCGAATTTTGTTGAAAGTAGAGTGGACGGTGATCTTTTGCTCCAATTGACAGAAGAGAATCTCAAAGAAGACATTGGTTTAACGAATGGAATTAGAAGGAGACGTTTTACGCGAGAGCTTCAAAACCTCAAAAAAATGGCAGACTATAGTAGCAGGGATACCGGAAATTTAAATAGTTTCTTACAATCGATCGGTCAAGAATTTTCTATATACACTTACAGTATGCTCAACGCTGGCGTTGACAAAGATTCGATTAGGAATGTGTCGGAGGACCAATTATTGACCGAGTGTGGTATCGGAAATAGCATACATCGACTTAGGATATTGGATGCAATCAAGAACATGCAACATAATCAGTTCAGTTCCTGCGAAGACGAATCACCGAATAAATCTTTAGATGTGTTCGTTAGTTATAGGAGATCTAATGGATCTCAATTGGCTAGCTTACTCAAGGTTCATCTGCAGCTACGCGGATTTTCAGTCTTTATCGATGTCGAAAGGTTAGAGGCTGGTAAATTCGATAATAATTTACTACAAAGTATCAGACAGGCCAAACACTTCCTCCTTGTGCTCACGCCCAAGGCTTTAGACAGGTGTATACAAGACGGCGAGTGCAAAGACTGGGTCCATAGGGTAAGATTTCGTTTTTTTTTTCTTTCCAAAAATTATAAACGATGTTAAATCATTCTAACTAAATGTTTTATTTATTTACAGGAAATTGTGGCTGCGTTACAATCGCAGTGCAACATTATTCCCATAATAGACAATTTTCAATGGCCTGAAGCCGAAGATCTTCCAGAAGATATGCGAGCGGTTTGTCACTTTAATGGCGTACGTTGGATTCACGATTATCAAGATGCTTGCGTAGACAAATTAGAAAGGTAAGTTCTACGTGACTCGTAGATTTTGAATTCAGAAAATAAGGATCATATTATTTCTATAGGTTTATGCGAGGTGAAATTCCTGTGAGATCTGAGTTGTCTGGAGGTATACCAAGAAGTATAGCATCTAAAGACGTAACAGCACCTAGTACGCCAGGTAGCACAAATATCCGACAGGCGCCGAATTATCAGCGAATGCACAGCAATGAAAGCAGAGGTAGCGATAAAGATTCAACCGGTGGGCGAGATTGACTAGAAGGCCCGCCCACAGCTATTCCAAACAGGTAATTCTTCCGAGTCATTCCTTTCAATGCGCACGCATATACTCTTATAAATTTATACCAACAATTCAAATACTAACATAACTAATTTCTATTTTCCGCAGCCGAGATTATGAACCGCGATAAGACAATCACGATTAGGTTAGTTAGTGTACAAGATATTTTTTTTTGTTATTTATATGAATATTTAAAGTGCACCATTGTGAATAGATCCTTGTTCTCCACCCATCTGTTATGAAATCATTGTCATTCGTCTGTATTATCACGCTTGTACATAGGTTTTCATTTTAATGCATGTTTTATGTAAATTAGATCATTGTTCGCACAGTCTAATGTTCGTTAATAGTATGTATGAAATTTGGAGTAATCATCAATTAAATATTACTCAGATTATTAGATAATACTCTCCTGTTGATGGGACATTTTGTTTGTAATCAAGCTCGTATAGCATCGTGCACAATGAATTTGTAAGATACAAATTGAATTGTAAAATTCAATATTGAATTATGTTCATTGTTGGCTGTTATTGTTCTCTTCTCGATGCACAATATCGTCAACATTTCATTGTCTTTTATTTAGTAATTGTGTTTTTGTAAAGGACCAATGTTGCTTAAATGTATCTCGTTTAGTAATAGTAATAATTAATGGTGATCTAATAAAGATAATAACCAAAGATTATTTTGATCTCAGATTTAGAAAATCGTCGAGTCCGTCCCGTTGGTTAATGGGTTTACCACCAACGTCACCTCGATTGAAATTCGTCCACACGCATCCTGGAGGAAGTCCAGTACCACGAAGACCTCCGCGACACCCACCTTCTCCATCTACACGATCTCGATCATTAGAACTCTTAGATCAAGATGAGAAGAAATCAATCTTGCCAGTTGCTAAACCTGAACCAGTGCCAAGGCCAAGATCCAAAAGTTTGGATGGTCTTTTGGACGAGGATGACGTAGTTTCACACTTAAAGACTGAAGAATTGGATAAGGGGGAAGAGAAGAGAAACGATGAAGTTGACAACGAAAATCCAACTAGTTCTAATGACACAAATCAAACATCAAATTTAGAATCAACGACAGATGAAAATTTGGACATATCTCGCAAAACTCAACAACAAATCGAACAGTCCAATAGTTCTGAACAGGCGAAGGATAATACGAATTTACCATTACCTGTTCCACGTTTAAAAACAAAAATGTCTAGCTCTCTGTTGGAAATTTCTAAAGTGTCTAAGGAAGAGAATAATGAAAGAGTTTCGTTCGCGGAAAAAAGGAACGACAAAGAAGACGATTCAACGATGTTGTTGCCTAAACAATTAAACAGATGCACGAGTGCAGACGGCGAGATCGAATCGTCGAATTTAAGGGACGATCGCGAGGTGACAAATTCTCAAAACAGGCAGCAAACCATTGAGCTTTGTGATAATAGTGTAGAACCAATACAGGAAAGACTTATGACGATAGTAAAAGATAAATCAACATTGTTAAAAGCAAAGAGCTGTGGGGCGGGATTAGATTCAAACGAAAGTGCTTCGTCCAACGATTACAAAGCTGAAATAAAGGAACAAGGCTCGTTGCTATCTTTGCCGGCAGGAGCTGAGCCAAAGAGAAAAAGAAATTTTATGGACAAATGCGTTAATAAGGTGCGGTCTTTTATTAAGAGATAATAAATATCGCGACCTTCGATAATAAGTTCGCAGTGATATCAAGACTTTTATTAAATAATTTTACAATATTTCTTTTTCTTCTTCTTCGTTTCCTTTTTTTTTCTTCTTCTTCTTTTTCGTTGATACCACACCGATGTTAAATATTTTTTATTCATAATTCCATCAGAACGGTACTAGTTGTTAAAAAATGATTTATGTGTATAGAGAGTATATTTAAAGATAAAAAGAAAAAGAAAAACAAACAAAAAAAAAGATGATATATATGTACGAAATGTTCTGTACGTCTGTGTTTTACTGATGGAAATATGAATACTCGTTGAAGAAATGAAACTTCGTGTATAATGACAGACAGCATGAAAGTATAATGTTGTGCCTAAGATTAATGTGTCTTTGTAGAAATCAAAGCGAGACCAGAAAAACTGTTGAGATTTTTTATCTTCTTTATTTCGAAGAGATATAAATACAAATAATGGTCTACTTGTTTCAGGTGCCTTCTTTTATATTTCATTAATGAATTGTATTATATAAAAAAAAAAAAAAAACACTTAAAACTTGTAATTAGATAATATTTTAATTTGTAATACTATTTTCTATAGAACAGTTATATCTTTTTTTTTATTATCAACCGTACTCGTGTAACGAGCAATATTATAATAAAATATAAAGGTTGTTTTAAATGCAGCTAACTTTGAAAATAAAGGTGACAACTTTAACGGTAGTTTGCGAAATTTTTTTATTGTGTTGACATCATTTTTCTTTTCTTTTTCTTTGTTTTTTTATACATCATATGTTTATATTTTTATCTTACAGTCAATCTAATTTAAAATATATACACATATATTATGTATATAAAGTTTCAATGGATTGGATTTATGCATTTATAACATATATAATTTACCAATGTTTTGTCAAATTAAACTAATTACACCCAATTTATAATTTATATACACCTTTTTTCTTTTCATGTTTTTTTTTTTTTCAAATAAATTTTATTAAAATATTTCATTTAATTATATAATATCATATTAATTAAATAAATATATTAGATTTAATAGTTTTTAATTTTGTTATGTATTAAAATTTATATTTTAATAATTAATATATATTAATTCACTATAAATATAAAACTATATAAATCTGCTACATAAATATATATATATATATATATATANTATATATATATATATATATATATATATATATATATATATATATATATATATATATATATATATATACGTAGAGATTTATATAGGAATATAAGTCATCTTAAATTGAAATATAAAAATCTAAAAAAATATTTGTTATTTACACCGTAACCTATCGTCGAAAGGAGCATTAGATACTTAAAGTATCCAAGTTAAGTAAATCATTTTGTATATGTTATATACATAGTCACAAATTCACGTATTTACATATGTACACTGTAAACGAAGTTTTGCACTATTATCGAGAAATATTTATTCTCTCATGATTTTAATAGAATTTTTTTCAATATGTTCATATGCTTCGATTTCTTTCTACTGGACTTTTTTTCTTTAGATTTCTCTTTGCTTATTTCTGTCGAATCTATCGTAAGACTTAATGTACTTAAATTATTGAGAGAGGGCAAATATGGAATAGTTTCCTGATTTTCTTCCATATTTTCCTTTATATAATCATTATTTAATTTATTCAGAACTGGAATATAAGATGTAGTTTCCTTATTTTCGCTTTTAATTTCCTTCATATCTCCGTCGTTTAATTTATTTGGAACCTTGACGGAATCATTTAAATTATCAGAAGATGACAAACACGTAGTTAAATGATTATCAATTTTAATTTCTTTCGTCATATTTTCATTTTGTAATTTATTTGAAACTTGAATAGAATCTCTTAATCTTCCCCAAAAATCATATAAGCCGACTTTGGTATAATCAAGAACAAACATGTAGCTTAACTGAGGCGGTAATACACACTTTTTGTATATGCAGGGTATAATTTTTCTCTGACGCTTATCTGCAATGAAACAATTTATAAAAATTCAAATATATATTAAAACATAGTAACAATTGTTTATATAAAGATGTATTATAAACTTTTAATACCTACCAATGCTTACGGCTTGAGCATAGTTCATAAAAAATTGATTCGCAGAGCTCTTTAAAAAGTTAGGAGAGATTATTATGATCATTCTATTGCAACGCTCCGATATGAGAGTCATCACAGCCTCGTGCTCAAAACTAATTCCTCCGATTAGATCTCGATCCTTTATACAAAGCTACAAAAAATATTTCACGTTAAGATTATAATATCATTTGATATTATAATACAATTTTTCATGTTATTACTAATTAATTATCCTCACTTTTATATCGAAATTTTCAAGCTTTTTAATCATTTCATAAGCAAAGGCGATATCTTCATCTGCGTATAAAACAAGTGCATCGTATATCTGATTTTTCAAACCTCGTCTAATTCTATATAGATCATCTGTAATATATAAAATAATTGATAAGATAACAAAACATGTTATGAAAATAGATGGTATGTCATTTTGATACCAACCTACTGTAATTATTTTAGAATCAACGGTTTCTTCTATCGCTTCAGCCGTTGTCTGAGCATTTTTTATACTCTTTAAATATTTTTCAGTATCCTCTTCTGTAATATTAATTTTATATGTAACATTATATATACAACGTAACATGAATTAAGAACACGGGACAAAAGTTACCAACCAATGAATTCTTGAATATCATCAATAATATCCCACCTTTCAAGAGTAGATAACATACATTGAAAATTTGCTATGTTGTTGTCATTTGTCTTTTTCGCTATAGTATTTAGAATATATTCAGTTGGATCAGAATGCGATGACACAAAAGGAAGGAGTTCGCCTTTTATATTTGCTAAGTGAGCGAGGCCTCTCCAATCTCTGTCATAAAAAACATGATTTAATTAATGACTATGACATACCATTCTCATTAAAAATCTATCTTTCTTTTTTACAAAACAAAAACAGAGTGAAAATAAAATTAAAATTACCTTGGTAAACCATTATCACTTAAAATATATTTTGTTGGATTTAACAGATTAGAAATAGCATTTTTAGTTCTTAGAGACAATGCTGTAATTGGTACACTTGACAAATCCATTTTAGATTCTTTTTTTTAGAAAATTTATATAAGACAGTCACCACTCCAAAGTTAATAATTACTTTCTAAGAATAAAAGATTAACGGAAGTAGACATACGTGTCAACATTGAGTTCTACCTTAAGCCGAACACACATTACTTTAGCTGTCTCGAAAATAAAAATTGTTAATTAATACAATTAATAATTATCATTGTTTAATATTTATTTAAACAATGTATTAATTTATTACATATTGTTTATAGATACGAGACATTTTCATTGGATAGTGGGAGAGGTCGAAACGGAAGAGCCAATCAGCGAGCGGTACCAAAAACCAATTAAAAGCATAATAATAAAAATAAGAAAGAAGACGCCTGTTACGCAGTACACTACGTTTTATTTTTCTGCATTAATTTCTCTCATTGAATATATTTTAATTAAGGTGAATATTTACAGTAACTCATATAATAGAAAATTCTAACATTTAATAATATTTATAAAAATTCTACGACAATTCGTTTGTTTATAACCAAACTAAATTTGAAATAATCAAAATGTCTACATATTTTGATCAATAGATTAATTTTCTTATTAATTTTATTTTAATTTGATATTCTTATAGGTATAAAAAGATAAATATTATTAAACGATCTTTGTTTACAATAATTACATTTTCGAAAAGGGTTGAAGCAAGAATTCGTAAATTAATTCAAAAGTTGACCACGTGAGCGCTGTATCCGAATTCCCACTTGTTTGCAATAGTGGTTGTCATCTAACTTCACTTTTTCCGTTGATCGCGAATTGAGTACCAAAGAGAATCTCGTCGCGCCGTTTCACCGAGATAACGGCAGTGTGATTAATGTGATTGTTCTAAATGGAAAGTGCCAACAAATAATACATAATTATACTCTATAGTGTTAATTAAGGTGAGGATACATTTTTATCAACAACCCAAAACGAATAATCAACATAATTGAGGTTAACAACCATGCGAAGAATATATTTTTTTTTTTCAATATTCTTATTTGTCTGTTTCAGAGTAATTGATCTAAATTTCTAATATTTCCTATTAAAAAGATTAAATCTGTCGTAAATTTTTACTATTAATGCAAATTTAATTAAAATGTTTTATACATCATGAAATTCGCACGTATAACATTTCATTAGACATTGATAATTATGTTTATACATAATAATAAATTATATTTGACAAAGCGGTCATTATTATACTCGTAAAATAAAAAGTAAAATAGTAACGTTTCGCAATTTAATTTATCGTTTAAAATTACTCAGCTTTCTGAATTTAGATAAAACATTCTATATATTATGCGCTCATAAACGTTGAATTGTATTTGTGCGTCATCTTTCGGTAAAAAAAATAAATGTCAATGTTGCTTTGCATTTGTTGGTAAACGAAAAATTATGGCGGTAAAATTTAAATTCTCTTTTAAAATATTACAAAAATGCACTAATCCTCAAAACGTTTTCCTTGTATAAAATCAAACTAATTAGTTGATTTTGTGTTTTTTTTTCAGTGAGTGAATAATCGTAATAAGTGAAATATCTAAAAATGACGGAAGCAAAGCCATCGGGAATAAGACCACCTTCGAAAATTGGCAGACCGTGTTGTGCAATGCCACCAAGACCGGCTATTCCTCCGTCGTCGCCAAAAGCATCAGGAAGTAAGTAAAAAAAAAAAAAAAAGGAACAAATGGTTATTCTTTTGCATGTTTGTGTATTGCAGTTTAGTTCTTTCATATTTCACTCGATGTTATTAGGCTTTCTTTTTTCTTTTCTTTTTTTCTTTCTTTTTATGTCACCATATTTGATCAAAAATGTTTTTTCTTATATTTTAGACATATATAAATATTTAATATAGATATATTTTGTATATTTATACATACACCTGAAGAAAATAAGTAGTTAGCACAATAGAATTATGCTTTAAGAAAAAGGGTTGCTGCTAAGCTGTCTGTATATGCATACAAAAAGAGACCATACATTGTATATACAATGTAATATGAAACTGCAGTTACTTTATAATGAAAATATTGAAAAATAGTATGGAGACATATAAGATTAGTCGTTTCGATGAATTATTATACTCGTATCCATATAATATCGCTTTTGTCAGTCTCCATTTACAAGGTAACGAGAACAGATCACCAATCTACTACGTCACCTTACGTACGAGAATACGATACACGCTTGCGAGACCCTGAAACGAACCTGAACGAATGCTCTTACGAGTTCGAACACGCGAGCTTCTTGTAAGTCGTTCTTCCACCTCTCAACGCGGCGCATCTCACCTGATATAGGCCTGCTTAATATTGTTCCTGATCGATCTATTTAAACTGCAAGTACGATTTTCATTCTGCTGAAAATCTTGTTAAGCGAGAACAACTTTGGGTTTTTTATTCCTTTTTTCTTTTTCTTTTCTTTTTTTTTTTTTTTAGAAATATATTTTACACATACTGTAATAAAAAAAAAAAAAAAAAAAATATTGTCATACTCGAATGATTCCGAAACTTAACACGATTTTCAACCGGTTGCGTTCAAACGAGTTCCTAATCATCAAAAGTGAGTGTGTATTCGTTATTTTTCTTGGCTACAATCATAAAAGTGATATTTTACGATAGTATTTCGTGTAACATTTGAAATAATATCGTTTTATTTATTTTCATAACATGTAGGGTATATTTTAGAGATGGACTTGAATTAAAATAATATTTGTAGATTTTCACGTGTCATAGAAATTTCTTAATATTTTCATAGAGGAATCATGAGGTATTAGAAATAATCTAATTAAAAAAAAACAAAAAAAAAACAAAAGACTTTTAAGATCTCATAAATTACAAAGCCTTAACACATAAACAATTTAAAAATGAATTAAAACAAAATCAAATGTCTCAATTAAATTTTCAAAGGAATATAAATATTAAGATTCTTGACTTTATTTATAATTGTTGAATGAGTTTAAAAAAAAAAAAGAAAAAAGTAGGGTGAGGTAAGAAGATTCGCGAAGACTTTAACGATTGTATGCAAGAGACGTGTTAAAAAGAATCGCAATGAAGAGAAGTTGCATCGAGGGCACGTATCTTGCCTTATTCGATCATGTCCAGTGGTTTCCTTAGCTGAGAATCATGTCCAAGTAGGTAGCTTAAGGGGCGAAGAAGCGAAGAATAAGAAGAATGGAGAACAAACTAACGAATACACACGTTTACTTTTTCTCGATCATGACGCATGATACATGCATACATATATGCATTTGCTTATGCAATCCGTCTTATTCATTATATGCGTTCACATTGTAGTAGTTTCGATTTCGAAGCATTCGTTTCATCTTTCTCGATATGTTTTTTTTTTGTTTTGTTTTGTTTTTTATTGCTCATTATTCTCTTTCACTTTTTATTTATTTATGTTTCTTTCTCGAAATGGCATCTCTCCCATTGCGTTTGGTTCATATTTCGCAACGCGATAGGGAAACTCAAGGCAATGATAAAATTTATTTTCCATTTTATCCTTTCAAATCGGATCGATTTTACTTTATTCTTTTTATTCCTTTTTTTCTTTCTTTGTTTATTTACTTAATTTCAATGCAAGCAACTCCGTCTCAATTCGTTAGATTTTCTCTCATTTTATTTGATCGATTAAAAATAATAATAAGAAATGATAAAAGTTTTCCTTAGATTTGTGAACATTTCCTCGATAGATTGAAATCTTTTTCCCGGTAGTAGTCGTGATGTAATCAACATTCTGCTCCATGGTGTTCCGTAACTATGACACCATCGTCTAAATATGGAAAGATTAACGGTTTATGACCGTGTCCCTTGGTTATATTAGTCGTCGTTTTAACCTTCTTTTAATATTTATCCAAGTGTGAATTTATTATAGATCCGGTTTTTATAATACTTTTCTTGGCATTTTAAAACATCGTTCGATACAAAAATCGAACATCTTCTTTCATTTGACATCATCATCATCATCATCATTATCATGTTTATTTTTTTGTTGAAATGAAATGAAAAAAAAAAGAAAATAAATCAATTAGAATAATCGAATAATTTCATCAAACGCGTTATCAAACGAACGTCATCGTTCATTCTTAGAAATCACGATCACAAAATGAAGAAAATCGTTGTTATGCTAAGATGTTGAGAATCTCACGTAGATCACCGTGTTTATCCGTTCATAATCGTGAAATAATCTCGTTGAACATAGGCGCCGTCCTACGCACAAGTGCGTTTATGCGATTACTACTACAACGATTTATAGTAGATCTGATCTTATGGTTAGTATATTATTTCTACTCCCACGAGTACTCATAAATAATTCATTCGATATCGAATAGAGATAGACCCGGACATACCAGCGCGATTCCTTTTCTGGATTTTTGTTTTTTTTTTTCACCGATACACAACTTGAAAATTAAAATGAACGTCTCTTCTTCTTTTATCAAAAATTAGTATTTCCAAATCTTTCATTTTATACAATCGGTTATTATTATAAATAATTAATATAATCATCGTTATCATCATCGTAACATGTATATTTAATTATTAATTGTTAATTATCTATCTAACGATAAATCGGTTGTCATTATTACATAAATCATAAACGATATATCATTATAACGTTTAGTATGGTTCGACAGGAAATGTAAACAGTAAGACACATCATATTGTATTCCATTCGCATAATAATATTGCAAGGCGGTGTTAAATGGTCATACGCGTCCTGGTCTATTAAACGTACGTTTGGAATTAATCGATTATCGAATCGATCGTAGAAATACTACATACACACTCATACTTTCTATAGCAATAGAATAGATAGAAATGATCTTTATCGTTCAAGATAAATATCCTTTTGCGTAACGAGATTAGTATAAGGATTCTCTTGCTCGTTCAATTTCCGTTTGTAGATTCGTTGCTGCTGTGTGACAATTAACGTTCAGAGGAACGGATGCATGTAGCGGACCAGAGAAAAGATTAGATCGATTAGAAGGAAATTACTCGTCGATTGGTTAATTAACTTTCAAACGTATACATTGTTATGGTTCTACATTTTAAAAATACATTTGATATTTCATTTATGTTTTTTTTATTTTTTTTTTTTTTTTTCTATGATAATTCTATGAACATATACAAATCATACGCATTTAAGGGTTGAAAAAGAAATCAATCGAAT